CCCCCCCCCCCCGACCCCCCGCCAAGCCTCAGCCGCCAGGGGAGCTAGGGTCGTGAGGATGCTAGGAACAGTCACAAGCGTTGTCCTTTGCCTGCCTGCCTGTTGTCGGCACGTACGAAAACGACACCGAAAGTCCTTAATACCCACCCTAACCCACTGGGGTCAGTAGTCTGATTCTGCCTTTTTATGCTGAGCAAACCGAGGCCAGAGCTTAAGGGACCCTCCCGGGCTCCAGAGTGGGAAGGTGGCTTTGAGCTGGGACACGCCAGCCTCGGAGGCCTGAGATCCGGGTGGTGTCCTGCTTGTCAGAGGTGGGCGTTGGGAAGGCGTCTAGACTCACATAAGGCTCCTGCCCAAGCCGGCCCTGGCCGCCCTTCCTGCCTCCCTCTAGGGCCAGCCCCGCTGATCTGGCTGCTGGGGGGCGGCGGGGGGCGGGGGAGAGCTTCAAGCAGAGCCGCTTTGGCGTCTGTAACGTTGGGCGCCACCGACCACCTTCCTGGGACTTGGACCCTTCTACTGGCTGGTTTCTTCGGCCGTGACGCCTCCCTTCCCTACATGCTGCTGCTCAGATCCCATGGCAGTCTTTGGGGTTTCCGCATGCCCCTTAGGAGTTCCTCGCGGTTCTAGGTCTGTTCCGCCCTCTGGGTGATCTCCTTCAATACTGTGGCTGCTGAGATCTCCGCACAGGTGATTCTTGGAGGAATCCACATAGCCCGGCCATCCTTCTGTGTCCAGCTGCTCTGTGGACTTGGCAAAGGTACTTTGACAGGTCCACAACCGAACGTGTCAACTTCTACTCGGACTGGCGTGGCCTGAATTACCTTCCGAGTGAAACCGAAGCCCGCTCAGACACTTCTCTTTCACCTTCACATGTGGGTTCTAGTAGTTGTTGAATCTTGCTCTTCTCTGCACTGGTCTGGATTATTCTCCAATCCAGATTTCACTCTGTGGTATGTTTGTTCTAAAACACTTATCCACTACCCGTTGGTGGTCAGTTGGGATCAAGTCATTGCCATCTGGCCTTAACCTAGGTTATGCCTAGGTATGCCCTAGGTTCCGCATACACTTCATGGGATTGGGAAGCTCCCTGAGACATGAGATCAATTTAACAAACACTGAATACTTCTGTTGAATGCGAGACTCCAGATGGACTATAACAGTATCTAGATTTTAGACTGCAGCCCCAGGGAGTGGGCAGGAGGGAGAGAAGGAACTTCAATCTAGTGATGTGGGCAGGAGGGAGAGAAGGAACTTCAATCTAGCGATGGTAGGGCACCTAGGGAAGGGGAGGATACTTTATTCATTGACATTCCACTTCTGCCATCGAAACAAGCTCACAGCGTCCGCCAAATGTTGAACATGAAGGAAATGTTTTTAATTGCACTTGGTGAGCAAAAAATTGTCTACACACACGAATGTTTGGCTTTCAATTCTCTTTGACTCCTTATCCCATCAGATCGTGAGACCAGTATCAAAGCAATTCTGGTAATGAAACTGCAGTCACCTTTGACATTCTCTTCTAGTTACCTGCCAGCCAGTCAGCTGTCTCAAGTTATCTTCCTCCAGATCACTTCCTTTTCATTCCCAGGCAAGCACTATCTGGGATTAACTGAAACCACTTCCTAACTGGCCACACCGCCTCTAGTCTACCCCCCCATTCTAGTCCTTCCTGAAAATGACTAAGTGGATTTTCCTAATGTGTTTCTTTGTTGATTAGTCTTCAGCGGCTCTCCACTCCTGACCAAATTAAGTTGGGGCTCTCATCACTATGGACCAGTTTGCCTTCCAACTTTCCTCCTTCCTTCCTTTATATACGCAACACACAGAAGCCTTACGTAGGCAGGCCTTGTGCCTTCCTGACTCAAGCAACAGGGACCATTTTCCCTGCTCCTGTCTCATCTATTAAAATCCTAGTTATTCTTCACAGCCTGGCTTAGGCGGGACTGGGTATATAACAAAGGACAGGAGCTTTTGCATTACTGAGGCCAAGTGCTCTCACCTGAATGTAGAGGTAATAATCCCCTTTCATGAAGTCACGGTATAAAGCAAATAACATTTGTTAATCATCTTGGCACAGTAATCTTTCCATCCTACTAACGTTCGCTGAACCAGAATACCTTATGTGTCCCCCCACCCCCAAACACATTCTAAAGTTCACACAAATGATAGTTTATGTAAAAATTTATTTGACCAAAATGTAGAAAAAGTGATACTATTACATATGATACAGTTGCGAGAATCTAAATGAAAGGTGTGCGTTTTATTTAATTGCACAATTTGCTAGTGTACCTTCTGGGTAGTGTGATGCTTAATAAATAGGAGTGAGGGGCAGAGAATTTGGATAAGCTAGAAGCAGGGTGATTTTGTCAGAATTGTAAACTTGAGTTGGCCCCCACACTGCTGGGGAATGTGGAATGTTTCAGCTCTGAGATGTTACCCCAGAAAGCAGAAAGACAACAAAGCCAAAATGCAGCTGTGCCTACAAAATGCTCCATATCCAGTTTAATCAGGAGTTTCTTGGTCTTTCATTAACTTGGTCCTGAAGAAGGAATTAAAGTCCTACATAAGTAAATCTTCAGTTTGCTATTCCCGGAAGTATACAGGAGAGGAAGCGAGGCCCATTGCTCTATCTGTACTTTGCTGTCAGAGAGGACCCTTCTGCCCAGTAGTTGTCAGCATTGCTCAATTATTGATGGCTCGCAGTCTTTTTGATAGGACTTCTCTGAATGAGACTGAATTCTGCCACATTCATTCCTGCTAAGCAGATGGTCTCAGATCAGAGCAGACAAGCATGGGTCATTATTGGAATAAGAGATCTGCTCCTCAGAGAACTTCAGAATGAAAGAAACCTGTAGAGGAACATAGGATCTATCCAGAAAATATCTGGGTAATTATTACGATGATTTCCCAAGCATTCTCCTGCTACCTGCCCAGAGGATGTTTGTTCTGCATGGTGGTGTGTGGGAAAGAGCCAGGATGATAAGGTTGATCTATGGTTTATGACTTCCCACAAGGCAAGCCCTCTTCCCCCTCCTCTCTTTTTTTATGCTCTGGATGGAAAATCCCTACCCATTTTAATGGGATGGTCCCTGGCTACCCGTCGTGTGACCAACAGTGGCCCAGAAGGTTATGTATTCTGCGGCCTTTTAAGTTCACCTGTGACTAGACACTGGCGTTGGTTTTTGAAAGTATAAGGTTGTTTATTCTCCCAGGAACCAAACGCCCTCAGTCTCTATAGGCGTATGCTCAGTATGAAATACCCTGCCTACCTTATGAATAAATGCAACTTAAAGATAAAAATAGAGCTGAAAAAGCTGGTGCCATTTGAAAAAAGGAAGGAATGAGATTTAACGGGGTGCTCAAAGCTTCTCTGATACAAAATATTTGGTCACGTACTCATAATTTGCTTGACATTTCCAGCAAAGCGAAGATTTCAATAGCAAAAGAAACTTCTTACAAGAGAAGAGAAAGACACAGAGCTCTGGAGTTTCTGTTGGAACAAGACTCTTCTGTTTTGGTTATATACAGTTAAGTTCGTTTAGTGTCTGATCCAGTGTCTGATGTAAGCCCACGTTCTCTTCTTTGGCCTGGGCAAGTTTTTCTGGTGAGGATTAAGAGTGGGGGGAAAAATAAATTAATAAGCATCTAAAATTTTGTTAAGAGAAAAAAAAAAAAAAAAGCTTCTAAAACCCCACACCGTCGGAGTGAAAGTCATAGCGGAGAAAGTACTCCACATTTAATTATAGCAGAACACCATCTAATAACAGGGTTTGAGTATCAAATACGGGAGTCAGATACGGTTTTGAGATAAAACACAGAGTCTTCAACTAACTTTGAATTTCAGGCACACGACAAATAATTTTATAGTACAGGTCTATCCCAAATGTTGCATGAAACATACTTAGGCCAAAAAATTATTCATTGCCTATCTGAAATTCACATTTAACTGGGTGTCCTGTGTTTTAACTTGGTAAATCTGGCAGTCTGGAGTTAGAACACCTGGATGTAAGCCCCAGCCGTCCCTCTGAAATAAGGCATTTAATCTTGCTACATCTCCGTTTCCCCGTCTGTCAAGGATAACGACAACAATGTGTGGTGTGGGAATTAGCATAAGGAGATAATAAATGAGACACCCTACAGAACTTCTGAAGTGCTACACAAACATCAGATCTGGGAAACAGGACATTTCTCCCCTAGTGCCAGTTTGGTGGCCTTTGGTAGGAAACTATAATCCTGAAACCCGTTTTCTCCGTTGGAGCTTCTGGGAACGGCCATTTAAATTCCAGGCATAATTGTGTTTTTGTGTCCGTGTGTCCACAGCAATGTAGTCAAACCCCAGAGAAATGCAGCATGACTAAAATCTAAGTCAGATTACGGGTGAATTATTAAATGACCGAGCTGATAAAATAAAAAATTTAAAAACTAAAACAGTGAGATGCCATTTAGAGCTGTGCGTGACAGAGCTCAGGACAGAACCGGTTTGCAGTGAGTGATGGCTGATAAGAGGACTAGGCCAAGAATCATTAAAATACTGGAGAAAAGCAAAATGCCTCCTAAAAATGTGATAGGATCAGCTTGGACATTTTCAGAAAGGAAAAAAAAAAAGGCTGCGAAGGTGGCAATCTTTCAACTACAACCGCTGGGCCTTTCATCCGATGAGGCCCTTAGAACCTCAAGTTGCTACGATCTGGGCGGATTCTGTCAGAAAGGAAGAGTGACCTGGGCCCGACTAATCTGGACGGACGGCGCCAGTTCGGCGTGAGCCAATGTCTCCATGGTCTCTCCTAATCTTTACCAACCAAGACATCGCTTTTGTTTTGCAGAAGAGTGAAGTGGCTCGTTCAGGGTCCCACGGCTGAAATGGCAGGGCTGGGATTCAAACCCAGGTCTCCCCACTACAGATGCGGACCTCAACTCACCACTTAGATTCCCTGGCATCTACTTTGTGGTAGGTGTCAGATAAAATAACAGGTAGTCGTAGATTTCTGTAGCCCTAATCTCTGTACATGAGGCTCCACCTAGTTGCTCAGTTAAGCTGAACGACCGGATAAGCAGGGCTGCAGTTATTTCAAAGGGCGGAGGATACCTAGGTCTGGAAAAGTCCCAGGAACAAATATACACAGAGAGAAAACAAAAAACACCCACACCCCTTCATAGGCTAATTTTCCCAGGGGCGTAAGTATGGCAGTGTGTGAGGGGAGTGGCTTATGCAAAAATTCAGGGGGGATGACAGGACACCAGGGAGAGGCTGGGCGTTTAAGGGAGATGGACTTTGGAGGGGTGAATACAAAGACCCCACCTGAATAAGAAATCACAGGCTGAGGAATAAGCTACAGTGACAACAAAAATCGATCGAACTGGAGATTTTCCTGCCACTCCCAGGTCCAAGGGGCAGTCTACAAGACTTGACACTAACATGTCAGTGTTTCTGGGATAATTTGGGGGTGGGTACAGAGAAGTGGATAAAAATATTTGAAATGTGCATTCTTATGGAAAAATGTATGAGCTTGTGGTCACTTTCAGTGTGACCTCTTAATAGCCACAGGCTAATTTTTTTTTTTTTAATATACCCACAGGCTAACTTTATGAGTGCTCACCAAACCAAGGCAAGGTTCCCGGTTCTAGTTAAATCAAGTATGAGGAGATGTTAGCATCTCAGGCAACTTTGTTTGGAACTCAGGAATGCATCCTTTCTCTTTGTCTGGCTTTCCAGCAGCCTCCACTCCCTTTCCCTGCTAATGGGATGCTCTTTAATTCCTTGTATAGTTGTCTTCTAAGGGCAGGGTATAGAGGTGAGGTTCCCTGGTGAACTTCCTCCCAGGACTGGGAGGGCTGGATAGATGTTCCGTGAACAATGAAGATATAGGGGACCCTAGACACCATTCTCAGAGAGTAACACAGAGAACACGTGTGAAAAGGCGGAATAAGGAGACCACAAAATGCCACTGCCGCTTTTTGAATCCGTAGATCAAAACCCGCTCAAGAGTAGCCTCTTTGTAGACACGAGCCTGCCAGTTTTTGCACATTCTGCTGACTCTATTAAGCTGCTTAAGAGGTCGGATGAGTCTCCATTCAAAAACAATTTCTATTTAAGGAAATACTGCTATCGGCACGCAGATATAGTTCGCTAGCAACATATTTGAGAGCTCATGCCAAATTGGCGTTTGTTTTCGTATCGTCGGAAAAGAATCATGTGGGCATAACTTTCTTTTTGAAATGAGCTCTTCATTGGAACCACCCACTTTCTGTTGTAGCCACAGTTCAGGGCATCACAGCTACGGCTCAAAAGCGGCAAGGGAAGAACATGAAAATGAGAGGGCCTGGGCATGAGGAGGCCTGTCTTTATTTCAGTCACACAGTCACAGACACAGCAGAGGAAGGCTTGAAAGACCAAACCAGGAGGCAGACCACTGGAGCTTCGAGAAGCCCACGGGACTGTAGGCACCACAGTGAGAAGGCAAACTTCAGTATTGCTAGGACAGAGGGCGGCACCCCAGCTCCCTCTTAGAGAGAGGTCATGTCGTTGAGAGCATGGTCCAGTTCCTCGCTGATAGCTTTGTACTTGAGCTTCTGAGCATATAGCTCATCTAGCGGGCGGAGGTCCCCAGGGAGACAGTTCGGAAGAAGAGGTACAGGGGACAGAACGTGAGGGTCGGAGTGGAGTGCCACAGATGAACAATGACAGGAAGGAAACAAAAGTGAGAAAAGAAAGCGTGAACTAAAAGAAAGCTGTGTCCTATGTCAAACACATGAGAAAACAAAAGATCAACGGAGAGGTTTCCAAGTGGTTTGGGGCCCTGCAGGGGATTAGCTATAATGAACCTTTGAAAGAATGGAGACTAGAAATGAACACAGCGTCTACCCCCAACCTCCCGCCCCAGGTTATTTCTGACTTTCAGTGATGTCACCCGGTCCAAAGGTTATATATACTTTGGAACAGGGGGATTTTCCCTTATATGGAAACCTCACCTCCCAAACCAAACACTGGACACACAGTCTGGGGAATAAGTTCTGTACCCTTTCTGGGTGGGACAGATGGTTTTAGGAGATGTTTGAATCCCAAGATTCTGGAATCTCCTGGTTATTTTATGAAGAATGCGGGACAGAATTTTGTTTTTTTTTTAAGTTGGAACTCTTCAAGAAATTCTGGGATATGTGGGCACCAGACTTGCAGACTGGAGTCTTTATTCAGTCTCTACATTCTCTATGCTTCCATTTTCTCATACTGTGATAAACTCTTGAGCGCTCTGGGAGAGAGCTTCTGTAAAAATGTAAGGCATTTTAAAAATGCAAGGCCTTATTGAAGGAAATTCTGAAGACTTTTAAAATCAGCCATATTTGGGCCTCCGTATTCACATGTGGAGCTAATTAAGCATGAGATCTTTTACTTCTTGAGAAGTGGCGACCCAAGTCTGCATTTGACTTGCACGGTCCTGTCCCGTGCTTCTGACCTCCTGCTGTGCCCTCACCCTGCACTTCACTTTCCTAAGAGGAACAAAGCCCAGCTCAGCCCCTCCACAGACTCCTCCCACTTGCCAGGAGACTGTCCTGCAGGGGGAGGCAGAAAAAAAATGCAATGAGATGGCAGTGTCATACCTTCCAGGTCATCAATCGTCTTTTCCAGTTTTGCAACCGTTCTCTCTGCAAATTCAGCACGGGTCTCAGCCTGGAGGAAAAGAAAGGAGTCACTATGATGGCTTCGAGACCAGCCGCAAGAGAAACTTGAACTAGCCGGGTACGGTCACGCTCACCTCTTTCAGTTTGTCGGACAACAGTTTAATTTCTTCTTCGTATTTATCCTCCTTTTCAGAATACTGCGGGAGAAACCAAAGCGGTACTTTAAAAAAGGGGGGGGGGACCAAAAAAGAAAGAAAGAAAGAAAACAGAAAAAAAAAAAGAAAAGAATGTAGGTTCTCTGCTCCTCAGAGAAAAGCGTGTGCTTGAAGCGCCACGAACACGCCTAGGAGGCCGAGTGGACACAGCAGCACCTTTCCGGGCAGAAGAGATGGGCACAAAACTGAGGAGCGCATCTGTAGGGGAGCCCTCTGGGATGGAACCTGCGCACTCTCCAGTCTCCCAGCCTCAGGCCTGAGATCGCCCCCTGCCCCAGCACGGAATGCTCCTTTCCCCGTCACTACATGTCAGAAATTATTTTTGTTTCGCCAGGTTCAACTCAGATCAGCACTAGCTAACCTTTATAGCTGCTTGCTCCGTTGCCAGATATCCCCAATCCCATTTTACAGATGAGTAAGGAGTCATAGAGAGGTTAAGTAGTTTGTCTAGGAAGTGACCAAGCCATGACTGGAACCTGACTCTGGAATCTGAGCTCCTGGCAATCATCATGCTTTATAGCCCTTTGACACGTCACCTGCTCGTAACACATTTCCCAACTTTCCAAGGTCCCTCTGTTGGAGTCTTCAAGCACTGTATTACAGGGCCAGTCTCTTCAACTCAACTAGACTCTGAGCCCTTGAGGAGCAGAAGCCATATCATCGCTGTTACATCTATCCCCATGGCCCAGGACAGCATTTGGCACGCACACATAAGCTACATTTGCTCATCAAATATCTTAGTATCCATGTTAGTACTAATGACACGGCGCTAAACAAGACAGATATACTCCCGGTCCTTGAAACTTACAATCTGGCAAGGAAGGCATATCGTTAATTGAGTAATTATGACCAACACGATGAACCACAGGATAGGAAAAGAAGTAGGCGGGGCTATACAGCCAAGAAACCCCTAACCTAGATGTTCAGTGCAACTGGAGGGCCCTGGGGTGCAGGGGGCGGGGGGTAGGGTGAGGAAGAAATAAAGATGGGGAATTCACAGGGCAGGCCACGGAGGGGTGTGTTCATTGTTCCTGACGCGGTTCTCTCCGGTAATGACTGCTTTGGATACTATTTCAGCCTAAAAAGCCCAATTCCACCTCTCGTATCTGCTGCTTGACCTGTGAGAGTGTATTTCTGGGGGATCCAGGGGAATCGTTTGAGAGTGAGGCTCTGTGTTTATACAATTATGCTCAGCTCTCCCTAGGAAGTGCCTGACCAGGTACCAATCTCATATTCCATCTCCACCCTTGTAGAAGGTGGGGATGAAGATGGCACCAAGACCCCACCGAAGAAGGAGTCTGGCCACTGGATATCTCTTTTTATGGAGGGAAAAACCTTGTGGCTGGGCAGCAAAGCTACTGTTAGCAAACACAGGTCAGATCCCTGAGACCCTGGGCATGCTCCCGTGTTCCTTGGGGGGGAAGAAAAGAAAGTCCAACAAATCACCAACTCAAGCCAGCCACCAACCTTCTCAGAGGCAGCCTCGAGTGATTTCAGATTGTTCGTGACGTTCTTGAGTTCTTCTTCCAGGTCACCACATTTTCTGTGCAGAGAGACAAAGGAATCTGGCGCCCTATCCACCCTCATAGCAGGCAATTCCCCTCAAGGTTTTCAAAAAGGAGGAATCCCCGCTGCCTAGGGCCCCCAGAAGGAATGCGGGGGAAAAATGTTAATGGCTTTTTCTGAGCCGGAGTGCTGGGCACTTATCAAAACCCTGTCGTGCCTGGCAAGGGCACAGCAGGCCGAGGAGCATTTGGAAGGTTTGTAAAGCACTCCTGGGCTCTCGCCAGGGGTGAGGCAACTGGGACTTGTGAAATCTGTGAATTATGAGGCTGACTCCAGAAGGTGCAACAATGCCATGGAGCACGGGAGGAGAGAGCCATCGGTTTGCACCCGACCCTCCGGGAGGCAGGCTGGAGAACGGATCCGCCGGATTCCCCTCTCTCGGCGCGGCGGGATGCTCCATGGAGCTGGATTCCTCACCCAAGACCAAGGGGAGACATTCTTGTTCCCCCAGAGCTTGTGTGACTGTGGTCAAGCTTCTCACCTTTCCTCCCCCAGGAATGTGTCCCAGCCAAACAATGACATCAGGAACAAGGCAGTGAAACACGACAGGGAAGCCTGCCTTTCAGAGGCAAATGTTCTCTGAAGAAGGCACAGCTTCCTGAGATCATCCTCTCTGGGAAAATAGGACTTCCCGGCCTCTCTGCTCCTGCCTGTCTCACTCCTATTTCCCAATACCTTTGTGGGAAGAGTCAACACGTAGGCAAGCGCTTCCCAGGGCAGTAAGAACAGACACCCTGTCAGCCATGGGGACGAGGAGCAGGGGCTGAGCTCTGAGTCCCAGATGCCCCTCCACTTGGCTTGAGCACTGGCCTTACCAAGTCGGAGTCAATTCCCAGTGCAACCAACTCCCTCCCGCTCCGTCCCTCTCAGTCCCGCTCTGCCACTCACAGTTCGGACACCTCTGCACGCTCCTCCGCCCTCTCCAGCTCGCCCTCCAGGATGACCAATTTACGAGCCACCTGCGGACAGAAAGGACCAACTGGGACCCCAACAACCGCGTCTAGGAGGATGCCCCCCTCCCCGCTTGCAGACGGTGAGGCCCCTCCCCAGACCATCTGTGAAGACTCTGGCCCCCGGAGGGAGGCAGACAGGAAGGGAAGCTGACCACGGAGGCCGGCAGGAGAGCAACAGAACTTTCAAGGTCCCCAGACCCACAGGATTCCCAATGTCAGCCAAACCGTACCAAAGCACCCGGCTGCGGGACAAAACGTGATCTGACCAGTGGGTCTCCCTACCAAGTCAGACAAGTGCCACAGAGTTCCCAGGGACTTTCTAGCATTGAGGAAGATCGTCTCCTAGCCGAGTGGCCATCTCCGGAAGAACAGACGTGGACGCAGAAGGACAGCTGCCCCAACCAGGCGCTTCCTTCAGGCGGCCCCGGGGCTGTCCCGCTCACCTCCTCATACTTGCGGTCGGCCTCCTCGGCAATGTGCTTGGCCTCTTTGAGCTGCATCTCCTGGATTTCCATCTTTTCCTCATCTTTCATGGCCCGGTTTTCTATCACCTTCATTCCTCTGCAAGGAGCAACCTTGTCATTACCGCCGCCCCCCCCCCCACCGGATTACCACCCTCGTATACCTCCAGACACCTGCTCATCCAAGCACCTCTCTGACGCCCACCAAGAACCTGTGCTCCGCACAGAAGATTGCAGAGGTGTTCTTCACTTCACCTTGGCCTTCACCTTCACAACTGCCCCACGAGGCAGGAAACCTCATCCCCCACTTTGCAGAGGAAGAAACGGAGCCACAGGGAGGCCAAGTAACCTGCTCAAGGCTGCGTAGCTAGTAAGTGGCAGGGCCGGGACTCAAACCCTGGTGATCTGGCTCCAGGGTCCCAGCTCCCATCCTCTACGGCCCCTCACCGACTAGTAAGAAGCGCGGACACGCCAACGGTTACCACAATGGGATGAGGGGTCTGGGCCAGCGCGGCTGTGGGAATGATGAGTTCTGCTGCACTGGGGGAGGAGGTGTGTATGCGTCCTGGGAGGCTTTCCAAAAGAGAACACAGGGGAACCCCAGGAGCGTTTCAAAAGCAGGAGTGAATGGAAGCCAGAAAGAGGAATGGGAAGACCAGGTAAGAGGCAGGTACCAACAAGGTGAGGGGTGAGGACGGCCCGATCGGAAGTGGATGCGTCCAATTTGGAAAGGACAGTGTCCCGGGGACAGCTGGAAATCTGCAACGCAGCTGGCTTACCAGGAAACGAGCTCACTCTGGCCCGCACTGCTTGGAGCGCACTAGAGCAGCTCAGATACCCCAAAAGAGGCCAACCCAGGACAACGTATTGATGCGCGTCATGCCTGCCCAGAGTGGAGGACCGTATATGTCTTGCTGTTTAATAAATATTTCCATTCGGGCTTTCGCTCCCATTCCTCAAAATGCCCTTCCCGTCTGTACAGAGCCTTAACCTCCGTGGACGGGCCGACTTGGAAAACCTTTGCAGCTCTGGAGAGATCAAAGTGGCTTGCCCAACAATTAGTACGTGGCTGTGGAAGGACTGGAATCTAGATCCTCCAATTCCCACGTACAGAATTCTATCAAAACTAGCCGTCTCCAACAAGGGGGTCCCCAAAGGCCTCTGGTGACATGACACAAGTAGGTGGGTTTGGTCAACTCCTGGAAGGGAGACATCTGGCCAGGCTGGTCTGACCGTGAACGCGGGCAGCGGCTAACCCAGGCCCCAGGCACAGCCCGGAGCAACTTGTGGCCGGGCCCTTCACCCTTCCTGGCGGCAGCAGCACAGCCTCCTCGAGCATGCCCAAAGTTCCCGTCTGGGCAACCGGCAGAGTCAATTTCCAAGACTCCCCAAGTAGTTTCTAATCTCCGGTGTATGGGCCACAACAGCACCATCCAAAACGAATCCCCTGGAGGGGTTTATACCAGGAAACCACCGTGGACCGGCCAAACGAGAACCCTGCTGCGATCGTGTGGCAGATACAGAATGACCACTGGCCCGGCCCACACCATCACCGCACAAGGGACCCACTTTCCACCGCGCAGAGACAGCTGCTTCTGTGAATTACACAATCTGCCCTCAGTCCTCCAGAGCCCGTGCCGAGGCGTGCAGAGTTAGCCTGCTCCGGAGGAAAGAGCATCCCGCCAGAGCCCCGAATGCATGCCACAGAGGTGGTTTGCATGCGTCCCTGACGTACAGTTGTCACTGCCCAGCAGCCTGAAGCCTGCCTGGCGGCACGGTTAACCAGCATCCATGCACGCGGCCCATTTCGAGGGTGGCCCGTCCCCGCCTCTCCCATCCCCCCCAGAACTTGGTATCTGGAGGTGACCAGCGAGATGAGATGCACGGTGGCTTTCAGAGGACACACGAAGCGGCACTCTGCGCACCGGTCTCCGGTGACAGTCCTACGTGCAAGTCTTACATCTACCCATTTTTAAAATTTTCTCTAGCGGGAGTTTCCTTCACAACCACCAGGACGACAAACGCCCCTACGCGGCGTGGCAGTTGACAAGGCGCTGCCGTGCATGGTCTGTGTGTGCACGTGCGTCCACACCACCCGCATTCGGTCTCACCCCGGCTCTGGGAGGTCAGCCCCGCGGCACAGTCCCCGCTTCCGAGAAGCCAATGCCGAAGCTGCCAGGCTGGAAGCATCCTCACCTCTCGCTCTCGTCCGCGGCCTTTTCTGCCTCCTCCAGCTTCTGCAGGGCTGTGGCCAGTCGCTCCTGAGCCCTGTCCAGCTCCTCCTCAACAAGCTGGATGCGTCGATTGAGAGCGGCCACATCCCCTTCGGCCTGGGGAGATGAGAGGTGCAGCTGGGTTAAGAAGGAAAAGGCCAGACGGCACCAGGAGTCTCCAGTGCACACAGCACTCATCCCTCGGTTACCACGCCTCCCCTGACAAAGCCCACCCGGGAGTGCAGGCGGTTAAGGGATTCACACTCCCATCTGGAGATTTCTGTATGATCTTCCCTGAAAATGTTCGGGAATTTCCACCGCTCGGTGACAAAGGTGTGCATCCCAGGACGGGTCGGGCAGCCAAGTCAACACGGAAGAGAGAAGAGTATATACCACAGGAGGTGAGAAGACGGTGCTGGCCTCTCTGGGATGCCTAGACAGTAAGGCCACCGGTGCCCTGGCTCCACCCTGTCCCATAAAAAGCTCCGGGGGGGTGGGGGGCACCTGGATGGCTCAGTCCAGTAAGCAGCCGACTTCGGCTCAGGTCATGATCTCACGGTTCGTGAGTTAGAGCCCCACGTCTGGCTCCCTGCTGGTGGACTGAAGCCGGCTTGGGGCTCTCTCTCTCCCCCTCTCTGCCCCTTCCATGCGTGCTCTTTCTCTCCAAATAAATAAATAAACTTTAAAAATAATACATAAATAAGTAAAATAAAAAGCTCTGCTCCCAGTCACTTCCACGGCAAGATAAATGCAAGCATATGGAAGCTTCAGTTAAATGCTGGCCACACAATGTGAGGGAGGAGAGCAGCAGGGTCCAAACACAACCTTGAACGAGGTCTGGCCTAGAGATGACGGGACAGACAGATGTTAAGGAAGGAAGGAAAGAAAAGTTGGTTACAGGCACGAGAGGGATGTCTGAACAGGAATACTGGCTTTTCAAGGTATTTTCACCTACAAGGAAGGGAAAATGGTGGCATACATAAAAGCAGAAACTCCAGGCTCATAAAGTGCTAGGTCAGAATCCCCGTTCTGCGTAGCCATGTGGCATCGGGCAGGTTGCTTCACTGCTCTGAACCACCCCCACCCTGGTCCCGGCACCATGAAGACCCATAACTGAAGGGTGTGGCAGTGACTCTACCCGGCATGTGGGAAGTCCCACAAAAGGACAGCTCTTACCGCCATGATTTCACCTCACTTAATCCTCTAGTGTTATAGGGCCACCTGGGTGGCTCAGCCGGTTAAGTGTCCGACTCTCGATCTCTGCTCAGGTCACGATCACACGGTTCGTGGGTTCGAGCCCCACGTTGGGCTCCGCGCTGTCAGTGAGAGCTTTGGGATTCTCTCTCTCCCTCTCTCTCTGCCCTTTCCTTACTCTCTCTCACTGTCTCTCTCAAAAGTAAATAACTTAAAAAAAAAAAATCCTCCAGCATTTTACGGTGGGGAAACTGAGAGGTTCAGTTAGGTGAAGTGATTCTGTTCAATGTCACAGAACTGGTGAGAAATGGTCTCACGAAACCCAGCCCCCCGCAAGATCTTCCCTTGTTAAACCCGAGTCCTCTGGGGCTTCGAGGCCAGCCACCCTCAGGAAGAAATACTAAAGAGCTGGTGAGATTTGACTCAACTGAGGGAAGACGTGTTGAAGCTACACTGGCTTCTTCATATCAAGACAAATAATCTCTGAATGGGGAAAGCCATAAAAATTAGCAGGAAACCACTGCCTTCCCTCTGAATTTTTTAAAAATATTTTTCTATCAGTTTGTGCTAGATTTGGTTTTATTTTATTAGTAATTTTTTTAATGTTTGTTTATTTTTGAAAGAGAGACAGAGCGCGAGCAGGGGAGCGGCAGAGAGTGAGAGGGAGACAGAATCCGAAGCGGGCTCCAGGCTGGGAGCTGTCAGCACAGAGCCTGACGAGGGGCTCGAACCCACGAACTGCGAGATCAGGAACTGAGCTGAAGTTGGACGCTCAACCGACTGAGCCACCCAGGCTCCCCCCCACCACCGCCCCCTGAATTTATACAGCAAAAAAAAAAAATGGAGTAAAAGAATGAGGCCAGAGATGCTGAAAAACAGAGAATCAGGAAACTTTTCTCAGCTCCAGAGTCTTAGCAGCAGATGGAGAGAAAACTCCCACAGGTGTCTCTGATCGCAACTTCCTCTGTTAAAACCACCGATGAACTATTTTAAGAAACTCACCCACCCCTTCCAATGAGTGGGTGCCTTTTATTCTTTCTGATGACATGATTCTTTAACTCCTTCAGCAACAGGGCAGGAATTGATTTTTTTTCCCCCAACAGTTTTTTAGCACATTAGCAAAACCTCATCATCAGCACCACTACCTAATTCCAGAACATTCTCATCACCCCTCCCCAAAAGAAACCCCATCCCCGCCAGCAATCAAGGAATTGCTTTTTAACATCAAACAAAGGTGCCTGACTCATGAATTGTCTTCAAAAAAATAAAAGCGAGGCTTTCTTTACGTGGGGAATTCTGAGTCCTGATAACCATGCTTTTTGGCACACTTTCAACCGCCTGGAATTGAAAGAACGCTGATACATAGGAGGATATACATCCATACATATATATGTATTTTTGAAAAACTGCTAGTCACTGCTAGTCATTTTGGGCTCCACCCCTTCCTGCAATCAAAGCTTCTACACTCTACAAAGGATTTCCCTTATAAGGTAAAAGAGGCTTGCTAGATACATGTGGCAAAGGAACAGGAAGATGTCGGTTAATCACACAAAAATCTAAACGAAACCAGCTGTCGGGAGGAGACCCAGAAGTCTGCCACACGCCGGCTCTTGGTTTTCTCCACAAGAGACTGAGAAAGGTTTTTTGTTGTGTGTTTTTGGGTTTTTCTTCCCTTCTCTGGGCTCAGTTCCTTTGCCCAGGAACTTTTCTTCAGACTTCCCCATCCTGACCAAGAGGCGCATGCTCTGAAAAGCAAACTTTTTAAGAAGTCCACAACTTTCCAAAAACATCTTTCCTCCCAACTGGACTGTCCTCCTCCTATGTCTTGGCTCGAGGCTGAGGGCCATTTTTAAGCAGAAGTAATCGTCCTCCAGCGAGATGACTTGGGATGAGATCAGAGGGAGGGTTATGCCGGTTCCTTGTGTGAAAGAGGCCAAACCAGCTACTGTTTGAGGCTTGCACCAGGTTTCTGAGGCCTCTTCACGCCAGAGCAACTTACAGGATTAAACACCTCCACTCAGGCCAACACTGAAGCCGCCTGGGGCTCGCCTCCAGCCTTGACAATACACATGACACCTTTTCCACTTCTGGGGTCCTCACCCTTCCTCTCAACACTCCAGCTTTCAGGGGCCCTGGGCCCTCTCCAACTTTTTTGCACACCTAAGTCCCTCTTCCCAGCAAAGCCTTATTCTAGAATAATGCTCAACTTCCATTTTGAAGCCTACCCCACCGAGCGGCGGCTTCCCTGTGATGCTCCCACAACAGAACACTGAACCCCTCGGGTAGGCTAACCAGCCCTGTTTGTACCCCTCACCTCCATCAGACTGTGGGCTCTTCTGAGGTTACAGGGAGGGGAAAAATAAGCCCAGGAACTGAGCACCTACTCGGCGCCGGGTGCTCTGCAGGGAGGTTGTACTCCTGGGACCCTCCCAGCTCTCCTAGGGGGTCGGTACTGTCCTCGCTGCTTTACAGATGGGGAGACGCGTTCCTAGCGGTTAAGTACTTGACGGCGTTAGAATCCAGATCTCTCCCCAGCCCCAGGAGTTGCCACCATCTGTCCTGCCCCGAGGGGCGGTCAGAGGAAGCCGAGAGGGCGAAGAGGGCGCCTCCTCGTTCTGCCCCATTATCTGTCTCCGGCCCCGCAGCGTGGAGCGAAGGCACACAAAACCGTCTCGGGTCCAGGGCCCCGAGCTAACATTCCTAGGATCCTTTGGGAAGGCGGGGTCCCGCGGCCGTCGCTCGGCGGCCGTTCCCGCAGGGACCAGCTGGGGAGGGAAAGGCCGGCGGCTCTGGGCTGAACTTCCGCCCCCCGCCAGGAGCCGACACGTCGTCGCCGCGCCCCTGGGAACAGCTGGGAAAGTTCAGCTGGAGCCGGGAAGCCGCGTCAGAAG